CTCAGCAGAGTGTTTTGCAAAATCCTGGGCAAGCAGAGAAAGAGGCAAGGAAGACACAGAAACCCTCTTGGCTGATTTATGGAGAGGAGGGTGGGAAAGGGGCCTCCCCATCCCTTGGGAAAGCATTCTCAGAGCCGCCTTCACGGGAGACTTGCTGCAAGGATGCTGCAACGAGATGAGCAATGGAGCCTGTGCTACAACCATCAGCATCACTCTCCCACTTACACCAGCTACAGCCCCGATGCTCACTTACCCCTCCAGTCCCGCCTGCAATCTCTAACTGGTGAGCACCACGGCAGCACAGAGATCCCAGCAGCATCCTACATCGACAGAAGAGTCTTCCTCTTCGGAGTGCTGTGGGATTCCCACTCTCACGGTAGACAGTGCTCCTGCCTGCAGCCTGGTCTCGCTCAGGCTGGATGGGCTCAGGGCTCTTTGCTCCTATTTATTCTGTTTTCTGGGCTGCAGCAGCCATGGGAAGGGTCTGCAGCATGTTCCACTGGGAGCAGAGGAGGCTGTGTTGCTGCTGGGGCTGTGTTGCTGCTGTCCAAGAGCATCTTCATGCTGTTTTATTATGGGATTTAGAGGAGCTGCTGGGAAAGCCGTGGGTCTGTCTTCACCCTGTGATGCCCCAAGGATCCTTTGCTGCCCAACCCACCACCTCCAGGAGGGATGAAGGGTCAGGGTGGACCTTTGGAAAAGCAAATATTGGTGGGAAGGTGGGGAAAGGAGAGATGGGGGTAAAGAGAAGGGGAAGCCTGTGGGTTCACACATGTATGTGCAGTGTTTGTGGATGGGAAGAGAACTGACTGTGGGAGAGTGGCAAAATTAACTGGTCACATGAAGAATTGATTGATGGGGAAGCAGCTTCACAGGGCAGCGGAGCTGAGCTGGCAGGGAAATCCCATGGGCAGGACCAGAGAGAGGAAAAACAACCAAGGGAGAAAAATGGAAAAGGTGCTACTGAGCTCTGAAGACTAATTAGGTTAATTCTTACAGTGCATGGTGCTCTGGCACAGTGCAAGAAGGAGGAAAAAAATCCATTTCACGGGGGGAAAAAAGTAAATCAACATTTCAACTGTGTGCTTCTCCTGAAACAAAGATGCCTGAAAAGTTTTTCACTGAAATCAAAGAGCGAGACCTTCCCCAGCCATCGACCAGCAGCAGAGACCTGCTTAAGAAAAGGGACATTTATATTCGAGCCTCTTCTCTGGCCTTTTTCAATTCCATCTGTAAGAGAGACGAGTTCAAGACGGTGTGAAAACCACCTAGAGAGACTCATCGAATGGTTGTGTGGTCCCACTTTGTAACGCAGAGACATACCACAGCTTCCCTGTGCTTCGTTTCTGCCAGGGCTAACAAAACCCAGAGCCGCGTGCCCCGAGTACCCGAGCCCAGAACGGAAAAGCTTTATTTGGGTTTTAGGACGCTCCATGAAGAAAAGAAGTTTTGGCAACTGTGACCCACAGAGCTTCTGGCTCCCAGCACAGCCACAACCCCCACCATGGAAACCACCTGAGTTTAGAAAAAACTTTTCTTGGGTTTTTTTAACACTTGGGTAATTTGAGACAACTGAAACATAGAGGTGAAAGGGAGCCTGGACAACACTCTGCAGGTGAAAAAGCTTCTTAAATCCGCATTGCTGCAAAAAGCCATTTTCCGGCCTCAAAGGACCCACCACTGACAACAGGTGGGGAAATCAGGTTCACAGAATCCCAGAATCATCTCGGTTGGAAAAGCCCTTGAAGCTCCTCCAGTCCAGCCATGACCCTCACCCTGACCGTTCCCAACTCCCCCAGATCCCTCAGCGCTGGCTCAGCCCGACTCTTCAACCCCCCCAGGGATCCCGGGGACTCCCCCCCTGCCCTGGGCAGCCCATTCCAACGCCCAACAGCCCCTTCTGCACAGAAATCCTTCCTCAGAGCCAGCCTGACCCTGCCCTGGGCAGCTTGAGGCCATTCCCTCGGGGCCTGGCGCTGGGGCCTTGGCTCCAGAGACTCATCCCCCCTCTCTGCCCCCTCCTGGCAGGGAGTTGCAGAGGGCCAGGAGGTCTCCCCTCAGCCTCCTCTTCTCCAGACTGAACCCCCCCAGTTCCCCCAGCCGCTCCCCAGCAGACCTGTGCTCCAGACCCTGCCCCAGCTCCGTTCCCTTCTCTGGACACGCTCGAGTCATTCAATGGCCTTTTTGGGGTGAGGGGCCCAAAATTGAACCCACTCAGTGAGGGGCGGCCTCCCCAGTGCCGAGCACAGGGGCATAACATTCTGCAGGTTAAACCCACCGTGAGGATCAGGCTCTGCCCGCTCCCAGTCAGCCCAGCATCCTCAGTGCTCTGCTCCATATGGCAAACATTAGCGCTTGCGGCAACCGGAACAGTGCACACACACACACATACACATGCACACACACATGCACACACACATGCTCCCTCCCCTGCCAGCCTCCTGCCCTTCCTTGTGCATAATCAACCCCACATGCTAACGAGCAGGCGTGCAAAACCAACCTGCCCCCCCCTCCCCGAGCGTGTTTGCTGGGGCCGAGTCCGCCGCACAACTCACCTTGCCCAAAGCACCCCAAAGTGAGCACTCCTGGTGAAAGGACAGCTCAGCCTTCCCCTGCTCCGTCATGTGCTTTGGTTCTTGGGGAGAAATATCCAAAAGCTGCTTCTCCAGACCCTGGGAGCAGCTGCCGTGAGCTCCTGCTTGCGTGGGACAGGCTTGGACGCGGCGGCGGTGCAGCCAGGCAGCGCGTGCAGTCGTTTAACAAGCAAAGCCAGTAACGCTGTTTGCAATTAAAACAGCCCAGCCCTTTTCATTGCGAGGTCTTACTTCTTGCCGCTGGACCTCAGCAAGCTTCAAAGCCCTTGGCTGGAGTTTCTTGGCACAGGGTGTTTTCCCCCTCCTCCCCAAGAGCCACAACTGGAAGAGGACTCGGCTGCCTGGGCCGACGGCAGAGGTGAGGAGGCTGGATGCACAGGCAGAAATGCAGGAAGTAACACCAGTCACCGCGCTCTGCTGAGAAGTTTTACCTAGAAAACACCAAGACTCACAACTCATCCCCATCCACACGTGCCTGCGTGTATACGTCTGTAATCCCAGCGGGTCGCTGCTGCCCCAGTGAGAGTCCTGAGACGGTCACAGCCGATCGGCCACCAGCACAAAGGCAACGACAGCCGTGACAAATGCTGCCTATAGCCCCTCCGGAGAGGATTAAGCCATGCTGATTTCAGAAGTGAAGATATTTTATGGTCACCTAAGGACTGAGCAAGGAAGGAGACAAAAGCAAACAGACCCAAGATGGACCGAGTGGGAACAACCAGAAAGCAGGGGGGGTTGGGGAGAGCAAGAGAGACAACTTTCATTTAGAGAACCTGACACTGTTTCCCCCAGCAAGTTTTCAATTACGGGCTGGCTAACGGAAAATCCTGTAATAATTATGTCCATGTTGTCATGTTATGGAAAATACCATAATGAGATTAGGGCTGTGCCGGGCTCCTCAGGCAAGCAGCGTGGCAACACACACAGGCTGCCCCACATACCCGCTCCCCTCTGGCATCTCTTTGCTCTCTGCAAAGATTCCAGGACTTGGGAACCCTCCTGGTGCCCAAAACACCGTCATGTTGTGGGTAAAAGCTGTGGGTTTCTTCCACTGTAAGTATGAGCTGGAGGGGAGTCAATGAAGGTCCCAAAGTGTGGTGGCTCGTGGAGGAGGCTCTCCAGACCTCTGATCCTCTTCAGCTTCACACGCTCCTTCAGTGATATTTTTCCTGGATATATTTATGGCTCTTTCTGTGTTGCTTTCCATGTCCCACTGAATATTGCATGTGCTATCGTTCCCCAAGGACCGATAGTCTGAAGAAAGCTGATTCTTTGCAGGCTTTTCTAGAGCTGCTAAATGGCACCTCTTCTGTTCCCCAGCATGATTATATCTGCACATTTACCACTGATTATATTTGCAGGCACATTTGGGTGCGATTATTAGCTGAAACCTGTTCAAGGAGTCAAGCTCAGTTGTTAGAGCATCTCTGGGGGCTGCAGTAGAAAAACAAAAGCAGCATCTTTGATTTTCACAGAGGCACGTGTTGGAGGCTCAGCGGAGCTGGGTGGTGGCAGAGCCACCCACGAGGGGTCCGAGCCACCTGACCCATTTGTTCCCATCCCCCTTGCCATAGGATAGTTGGCTGGAGATCCCAACCCAGACGTGGATAGCAAGAAGCAAGGACTAGGAGCTAAAAACAGGGTAAAAAATGGCAAGAAACAGGGAAAAGAGGAAATGTGCAGGTCCAAAGGGAAGGTGGGGAATCTGTGCCATGAGGCAGGGACCTTAAAAAGCTCCGTTCCTTAAAAAAGGTGCTTATAGAGATTATTATTGTTAATTTATGTAGATCTACACTTGCACTAGAAGAACTTAGGAACTAATTAAACAGCAACTGAAGAACCGCTCTGGGCTCAGCTCTCACCCAGAGAGAAGCAATTTCTGGGAAGAAACAATCCTTTACTGAGAGGGAGCTCAGCTGTCAGAGTGCTGCTTTCCTCTATGTGCTGCTTAATCTTCCTAGAAATTATATGAAATTTGGGATGATTTTCTGGAGAAAAGGGAAGCAAATCGGCTCACAAACCCTGGAGTTCTCCCAAGGAAACAGTGTAAGCTCTTTCGGCATCCCAACGTGACAAAATGGGTTCCCTCTCAGTGATCCAGGGGCAAGGGATCATCTGATGAGCAATGATTTTTGACACCACATAAAGCAAAAGACTTGGATCCAGTCTCCAAGTGACTGTATCTAGATGAAAATCAGGGAAAAAAAAAAGAAGGTGCCATTTGGGACAGTAATTCGCTAACCCTCTTAATCGGTGCTGGAACAATTACACACACGGCTCTAATAGGCAGGAAAATAATTAACACTCTGCCAAGGGGCTCAAGTGGTGATTTGATGAGTCCTGCTGAAGCTGAGTTCCCACAGGAGTATCAGGGTGAAGTTTTTTTTCATTCTTTAGGGACTATGTCATGATCTCACGTGCGGCTATTGAATTTTTCCATCTATAGATTTACACTGAGCTGCTTGAGCAGCAGCGAATGAGTTGACCCTCTGGCCCTGCAAGGAAGGAGCTCCAACACACCTCGTCTCCGGGACCACCCGAGCCATGCACCCACACCACCAACCCCTCCGGCCGGGGTTATTTTCCAGCTGACAGTTTTCAAAAGTTAAGCAGTGCTTGTCGAATACTGCAAAGAGCTTTTCTAGGTTAATCACACCCTGAGCCTGCACAAGCAGATGTAAGGAGAGAGGAGAAAAACTCTGCCGTGTTATTATCCTACCACATGCAATAACTACTACTGAAAGCATCCTGTACATCCTGCCTGCGGGGATTCACCATGCCTGACCTCAGTCATCAGAAAATCAGCTGTCCTCTGATCTCTCTCTCCCAAGAGTTATGGGGAAAGTCAGCTTTTCCACACATCCGACCCCAAAACAGCTGTGTAAGGGAAGGGGGATTAATTAATTTCTGGTTTCTTTTCCCTTGACCAGCGCAGGAGCTGAGACGCCTCAGATAAGACGTTCAGCTGATGCCAGTTGAAATGAATCATACTTTTGACATTGCCCTGCAGACCTCTGGATCACACCAGATCACATAAATCCTGTCCTATCTTATTTCCCTCTCTCCTTCGCATGCCAGGGAGAAGAAATGAAAGCAGACAGCACTCACGTGTGGTAGAGACGGGCTCAGGCTGGAGCTCTTGTCCTCACTTGCCCTTGAGCTGAGCAGTTGATGCTCCGTGTTGCAGCTACCGACAGAGGGGTCTACACCCATCAGGACGATGCTCTCCTCTGAAACTGGGCAAGAGCAACACTCGCTGGTCCTTCAAGGTCCAGAGCTCTTTGGCTTCTGACTGAGAGCAGAGTGTGACGAGGCCAAAGGAAGGTAAAACCATCTGCTATTTGTGGAGTATCTCTGCCATAGCAGGTCCTACCCCATGGGATCAACAGAAGACATTGTTTTCTTTATACCTTCCAGTAATTAATCAATTTTACTGCTAAACAAAACCGCCTCTTTGAAGGGGAGGTTTCCTATTTTAAATCTTGTTTCAGAGGAAGCGGTAGATGATCTTAACCAGATGTGTCTTCTTAAAGGGATGCAGTTGCTACTGCTCTGCCTGAATCTAACAGTGCTCCGAGAGTTTGCTTTACATCATACTCCTCTGCAAAGACATTGTTACCCAATTTCCACCATCCAAAAGGACTTGAACGCATATTCCCAGCTCCTCCCATTGATGAAGCTCATACAGAAACATCACATCCATCTCACCTGGGTGATAGAAAGCTCCTAGGGAGGAGGTGGGCAGGAGCATCTACCAGAAGCTCCATCACCTCATAAAGGTGGTTGACTTTTGCCATGCCAAGAGGCTCCAGCTGGGGTGGATACTGGATTTTTGGAGGTATTAGCATATTATGCTCCTCCTGGTGACCACCACAAGCTCTTTGTGGCTACAAGAGGACAGGGTTAAGTCTGTCACCTTCTGTGCTCACATCCAGCCCTTTTCTTTGCAGTTATAGGGGCAAATCTCTGTATTTTTATCCCACCTGGAAGAAGGCTCCTTGGCTCCACAATCCAAAGCTCTAGATACGAGTTTATGGAGGTTTCCCATTTGTAGTGGATGTAGAATTACTTGCAACATCCAGCTGGAAATATGGTGGCAACACACAACAGTGCTATCGGCTGCATCGCTCTGGCTGTTTAACGTAATTTGATTGTAAACAGACGTAAACAAGCACTGGCTTTAGGGCAAGAGAAAAGCTTTGGCAGCTCTGTCGTGGTGATAACTCTGTGCAATAGTAAAAAAACCCAGCCTGCTTCCTGCCCTGCTTACATCAAGTCCTCCTGCACATTTTTTAAGAGAAAATGCCTGAGTAGAAAAAAAAACAATTACTCACTCTGAAACTGATAACACTGAACACAACTATGTTTTGATTCAAAGCCAAAAAATGCTTTATTTATTTGAAATGTAAATGATCCCTTTATCTACTGCCTGGTTCACGGGTTGTTTAAGGCAGTTCCCTTCAAAATGGGTCACTCAGCAGAGTGTTTTGCAAAATCCTGGGCAAGCAGAGAAAGAGGCAAGGAAGACACAGAAACCCTCTTGGCTGATTTATGGAGAGGAGGGTGGGAAAGGGGCCTCCCCATCCCTTGGGAAAGCATTCTCAGAGCCGCCTTCACGGGAGACTTGCTGCAAGGATGCTGCAACGAGATGAGCAATGGAGCCTGTGCTACAACCATCAGCATCACTCTCCCACTTACACCAGCTACAGCCCCGATGCTCACTTACCCCTCCAGTCCCGCCTGCAATCTCTAACTGGTGAGCACCACGGCAGCACAGAGATCCCAGCAGCATCCTACATCGACAGAAGAGTCTTCCTCTTCGGAGTGCTGTGGGATTCCCACTCTCACGGTAGACAGTGCTCCTGCCTGCAGCCTGGTCTCGCTCAGGCTGGATGGGCTCAGGGCTCTTTGCTCCTATTTATTCTGTTTTCTGGGCTGCAGCAGCCATGGGAAGGGTCTGCAGCATGTTCCACTGGGAGCAGAGGAGGCTGTGTTGCTGCTGGGGCTGTGTTGCTGCTGTCCAAGAGCATCTTCATGCTGTTTTATTATGGGATTTAGAGGAGCTGCTGGGAAAGCCGTGGGTCTGTCTTCACCCTGTGATGCCCCAAGGATCCTTTGCTGCCCAACCCACCACCTCCAGGAGGGATGAAGGGTCAGGGTGGACCTTTGGAAAAGCAAATATTGGTGGGAAGGTGGGGAAAGGAGAGATGGGGGTAAATAGAAGGGGAAGCCTGTGGGTTCACACATGTATGTGCAGTGTTTGTGGATGGGAAGAGAACTGACTGTGGGAGAGTGGCAAAATTAACTGGTCACATGAAGAATTGATTGATGGGGAAGCAGCTTCACAGGGCAGCGGAGCTGAGCTGGCAGGGAAATCCCATGGGCAGGACCAGAGAGAGGAAAAACAACCAAGGGAGAAAAATGGAAAAGGTGCTACTGAGCT